TATTTGTATATAAAACTACAATGAAGGAAAAAGTTTGGTATCATTAGAAGTTAAAGTTTTTGTCTTTGAAATAATGAAATAAATACCAAGATAAGAAATTCATGTTTGTGTCTCATATCATGACATGTTCTAGTTTGACACTGTGGCTCATTGTTTTATTAAACCTGTCCCAGTAGAGCGGAACAGGTTTACCCATGATCCATGACTTTATTAGTTATTTATCCAGCATACTTTACATACAGCTCATTATACTATATACTATACGACTTCATGTTCACATTACGGCATGTCCCGAGGTCAGACACATACTGTACAACATATGCACATATCAGCCCACTCCTGGAAACACCTTTATGTGCACATCTCCTCAGTGGACCGTGCAGATGTAAGTGCGTTACAGCCCCGGTGACTCAATATCATCATACCATAAGGGGAATGATGGTGACTGACAGATGCAGAGGTGGGTGGGAAGCAGGCAAGACAAGTGACAAGCTCCAACAGGAACACAGCTCCTTTGAAGGCGGTTGGGCAGCCCACTAGAACAAGGAAGTGACTCAACACCCCAAGGACTTCAAATGACTTTTTCTACAACTTAACTCTCCTTTTTCAGCCCACACAACTCCAACACCGCAATTTAACTCAACTGGAGGATTTTCACACGACAAAGTGGAAGCCGACTTTGAAGGAGTGTGCTGCGATGTGTGTGTCGTGTGAAGAAGGAGGAGCAGGAAACTGCCGAACGCCTCTCGTATTTCAAACGCAGGAGCGAGCGAGCAAGCAAGCTTTTAGGTCGGGTTGCAGAACAGGAAGAGAAACAACACTAAGTGAGATCCCACAAGAGGAAGTTGTAATTGTTTTCGGGCTACAGCCAGAGTGGGGAGAGTGTTGTAATATTGCATCATGTAGCGAGGATGGCATCACCTACTGTAAGCACAAACCGCACCGTTGGAGGCACTTGGGACACAAGACAAAACATTGTTTCCGGTGCAAGCCGATACATTTCACAATTAAATAATTTAAAACTACTTAAAAAGGGATAGTTTTGATTGTTTGAAGTTGGGTTGTTTGAGGTACTTATCCATAGTCAGTGTGTTGCCTAAAGTAAAACGGCTGCCAAAGCTAAACACTGTACCGCTGTTGATGGGGAAAGCAGCAAAAGCATGTTAGCCACCTAAACACATCATTGTCAGATTAAGTGTATGCTATATTTAGAATATGTTCAACCCTTTACCTTGCCGTCAAGTCATTTGGGTGGGGAATCTCGGCTCTCTTCAAAGCCACTAGACAAAATAGGTAATTTTACCACGAAAAAAAACACTGGGGTTGCTGGTACATCTTTGCCTTGATTAATAAGTTTGTCTGTGTGATTGTGTGACTTTGGGGTTTCAAAGGGTCAGTTAGGGTTCTCCAAAATCACACAAAAACACACTAACATTAACCAATTGAGGCAGATGTAGACCAGAAACTCCACTTCTCCGCAAGATAAAATTACCTGTCAATGGATTCTGGAAGAGTATGAATTAATATAATGATTTCAGTTCCCCATTGGAGAAGGTTGTTCGACGGCAAAGTGAAGCCGTGAAAAGATTCTTAATAAAACGTGCACTTTACTGATTGATTGTTTAAGGCAGGCCTTTTGAAGTTGCTTAAATCTGTATTGCTAATGTACCCGTCCACAGCAGCAGACTGCATTACTTTGCTAGCGTGACGTTAATCTAACGGAATAACTGTGTTTCTTTTAACTGGGGCAGTGCAGATTGATAAGTACCTTATAGAACCACACTTTAATATCTATGAGATGGGCAGAAGCTCACTAGACTTTTAGCAGAATGCACCAACCAAGAGATAAAGAGGCAGGTTTGTTGATTATAGTCGTTGATAACACAATATTCAGTGTTGAAAGTCAACCAAGTATCTCACGTTCAACCCTGTATCATGATGGTAGAATGTCTTGCATTGGAGGTTGCTTAACCTGAATATGTTGTGCAATCAAGTTCTTGTCCTAAAGGGAGTGTCAGAGGATATTTTTAAAACGTGGACTAATCTTGCAGGCACTCAGACCCAAAGTGATTTATTTAACGAGCTTTGATTAATAATGCTAAATGTAGCTATAATTTAAAGTCGGTAAAAGCTTTGGCAGTGTCATTTGTGAGGCTATATAGAGGACAATTTGCTTGAATGTTAAAAAAGAAGAAGAGGAGGGGTCATTAAATGAACCTGTGTGTCCTCTCCGCTCTCTGGGTCAAACCCTTCTCAAAAACATTGATTGCTCATGAGGCCAATAAGCCCCTTCTAAAAATGAACTCCATTTGTCTTTGAAATTGGGGTTACGAGTGCACAGGACACAATGCTCGAAACACCGCAAGCTGTAACAGCACGAACATTCTTGGTGCACCCACACACAGAGCGAGTGTGTGTGTGTGTGTGTGTGTGTGAAAGACAGAGGCCTATGACTTCCTCAGAACTGTTTCACAATCAAAATGATAAACGCTCTTGTAAATTGAGGTGCTTGTCGTTCTCAACAATGAACAAGCTGTGCGTGTGCGTGTGCGTGTGTATGTGTGTGGTTGCAAATAAAAAAGGAGCTGCCGTAAATGAAAGGTGTGAATAAAAGGTCAGCCGCCTCCTTGCTGCGGCAAGGACTGCTTTGTAGAAACGACTGTCCAGTTGTGGCAGCTAAGCTAATTTTCCAACATCTCAGAAAAGGGATAAGAAACACTGACGCTGTTTAGAGGTTTTATTGTCATGAAAGTGTCGACATTAAGCCAGGAAGCCTAGACAGCGTTCACCTGTCTTTACTTAAAGCGTGGCATTGAAAGAAAAGTATTTTACCATAAAATGCACAAATCAATAGCATTAAGAACAAAGACAAATCAATAATCTCACCGAGATTTATTGATAAATCTTCAGATTATTTTCTTGATGAACCAAGAGTACTATAAAATATATCTTTTTAAAGTAAAACATGTCTGTGCAAGTGTCTCAAAGTGGAGAGTAATGTGTTCAAATGTCTTGTTTTGTCCATCTTTAACCAAAGTATATTCACTTTAATATGATATCAAAGGAAGAGATCTGCATATTTGACAAGATGCAAATAGCATTGTCTCCCATTAATGGATGACAAAATACTGTAGCAATGAATAGATATAAAATAACTTGCTGATAATTTTTCTGACAATCACTTAGGTCAACTAATTGTTGCATCCTTCAAAGATTGCAATCTTTTGCCATGAATATTAATATATGAAAAAAAGCCAGGAACCATGCAAAACATCAGTTCTCACCAAGGTTTAAACTTCCAAGTTAAGTATAAAGCAACAAGGTCACACACAGACACACTCGTCTTGTGTGAATTGCAGCGTTGAGAGGACATCTAAGCACACACTTCTCAGATGTTTCTCCTCCAGCCTAGATATGTTGAGGCTCATCGAGTATGAAACCTCTCCTATCGAAGGATTGCTGTGGATGAGCCAACCATGTCACCTGGTCCTCCCTGCCTGTCAGTGCCACCTCCTACAGACACTTGGAGCAGAGTGACAGTGAATTCCCACTATTCCCCTCACCTTGTCCAAACGACATACACTGACAGTGTGACACACGGTGGAGATCTTGTTTGGGACATGTTGATTTAAAATGATCCTGCTGATAATGACATCCTATTAACTGTGTCTCAGAGTGAAACATTGTGCATGCATGCCAATGAGAGTGAGGTAAGCGTACCACCCGCACAACAGCTTTGAGCGGCAGCGGCCTGGAACACAACATCAAGGCTCACACAAGAGTCCTTGCAGTCAACTACAAGGTCTGCGGTTTGTGAGCAGAGGGGAAGGAGTTAGCAACATCACTCTGCAACGACTTGTGCTAAAATAGTCACCAAGCCAATTTCACTCAGCTTCTTCAATTTTGTTGGCTTGTGGAGGAGCAGCTAGAGTGGATAACCCCCTGCATGCCCCAAAAGGAATAAAGGGTATCCCTTCTCTCCCTCCCGCCTGCATGTGTCTGTAATGCGCTCGCACAAGGCAGGATGTTCACAGCTAAAAGCGAAAGAGATGTTATCTGTGGCAAGACGTTGCCTTTTTCCATGAAGTCATCACAGGCCCCTGGCTGCAACAAAAGGGCTTCTGTTTGACTGGCACAATGTGCCGCTCTGCTCCACAGCTTGGCCACACATGCAAATGACAGGCCGGGGGGGAAAGGTGTGGTGATGTCAGGTCCCAGCTTCACACGAAAATACTTATCCAACACCAGTGTCAAACATGAGGAGACTTCAGGGGGGGGGCTATATAAGCTATATTTTCCCTGTAAGGCATCTAGTTAATAACTCTACTTGCAGTGATAGGTTATTTATGTGTGATCTGTATCAAAATGTTAGATGGCTTTAGAGATCTACTTCCTTCTGTTTTCTTGTCATTGGAGCTGGAAAGTATACAGCCATGTGCAGAACAACTGTTGAAAGTGAAAACAGGTTGTTCAAGATTTTCTGTTTCATTCTCTTCATTATCGTCTCATCCTCTTCCTCTCCTGAGCCTGCTCTGCACTTCCTGGTCTATGAATGAGAGCTAGGGATGTCACATTACCGTGGTCAGGGTGGGGGGGTACAATAAAGCTTTATTTAGTGAACTGTTTTATTTATTGAACTACCGTTTGACGCACTGACATAGTTTCCAACGAGACTTGACGACCTGGGTGTGGGATGAATGACATTGGCTTAAATTCAATGAGTGTGTATGCATTGCCATTTCCCTTGATCAGGTGCGTCTCTGCGTGCCAACTTTAACTGGTGCGATGTGCAATGAATGATTTCAACATGTGCATCAATGAATGTGCCACTTACATTTCCACTGAGTGTGCGCCAGAGGAAATAGGTTTGTATTTATTTACGCACACGATTTGCAACAACTTGAAATATAATGGCTGCATTTGGATTTCCAGGCAACAGGCTGTACTACGCACCAATATCAAGTGAAATTAAACATTTTACAAATTATTTAACTACTCACCGTTCGGTCCATATTTCTCCACATTGGCTTTGACTTGCTCCAGAGTCAGCCCAGTGTTTTCGTTGACGCTGAAGTTGTCCAAAACTTCATTCGCCGATTTAGTGTGTGCATTTTCCATCTTGGCGGACTGGGCTTAGATGATCAGATCGTAATGCATGTAGTTGAGGAACATCTATTGTGGCAATCGCGGGGGGGCGGGGGTGAAACAAACAGCAGTAATTTCCTCCTCTGCACGCTGAGGCGGCTGAGTGTCGGTCGGTGCGTCACCTGTGTGTCCCCCCTGGAAGAAAAGCTCCAGGTCCGCGGTACACACGCTGCTGTTACTCTGTGGGTCTGTTGCTGCTGCTACTTCATCTCCATCTGAAGGTGTGCTGCGTGTGTGCCTGCGCGCACCGCCTCTCGCTGTTGAGCACTCCCTCCTGCGCTCCCATTGGCTGCGCGTACCTGCGGAGGGCTCCACTTCAAACAGGATGCATGCAGCTCTGTCACATGTGTTTCTGAAGTGCAGGATACATTGTTGTAGTAAACGCTGTTGTCGTTTCAGTGGGAAATCCTCTTTTTGCTTATATATTTCATTAACAAGTACCCAAATGAATCTGATATTGTAACTCCCCCAACAGACATTTGCACATCATATGAGCCATTCCTGAACCCTTGCACATTTCCTGCATTTGTTGTATACTTTTGTACAATACATGTTCAAACTACACTGCTCTTTAACCCTAAATTCTGTTATTCTGCATGTATTTTATGTTAGTAACTTGTCATATTCTTGTTGTACTTATTTATCTGTAGATTTTCTGTAGATTTATATTTCTTGAAAACATGTCTTTTTTGTAATAGTTCTATAGTTTCTTGCTTATTTCCTCTTAGGCAAACTGTGTTTACGTGTGTAGCGTTGTACACCAAAGCAAATTCCTTGTATGTGTAAACCTGCTTGGCAATAAACCTGTTTCTGATCTCTGACTTAACCCCTCGAGCTAAAGGGGCCTTGATCAAGGAGTTGCAGAGTAGTGGAGACATTGTCCATTGAGATGTTTTCGAATACAATGGAAGTAGATGCCAAAAAACATTTAAAAAATGCAACAGCGATGTCGCTTTCCAGTAATCATGACGTGGTTATTCAAGATAATCCACACACCTTATTGGAAGCAGTTTCATGTAGGAAATATTTTCTTCTCGTCTGAACTACACCCATCAACTGCATGACCAGAAGGAAGAATGCTTTGATTTTTTTACAATATTTATTTGCCACTTTGAAAACCGCAAGACGAGTGCAATGTCGTTCCATTATATTAGAGAGAAGGCAGACATTTCTATGGCTAATATCTTCAACACTCAAAAGAATAAACAGTCTAGATTGATAAACAGGAAGAAGGCAAGAGGAAAATATGTATTTCTGATGTTGAACTGTTCCTTTAAAACAGTGATCTTCAAAACCTTATAGCCAGACTACTGCTGTTTATGCGAGAATGGTGTAGACTAGTACTGTATAAGTTAGCATTCTGCACAAAACAGCTACACTAGTTTATCTAGTCAATTAGGCCCGTTTTAGGTTTGCTCTCACACTATGCAAGTCAGACAAAAAAACACTGAGTCATTTAAAGCTTACAGAGATAGAATACTCCCCAGGCTATTTTCCACTGTGCAGTTTTCCTCAGAACTGACAAAAAAGAGAGGAAAACATAGCTTGTAAATCGGGGTTTGTAATAGAGTCACGGATTAAATAATGTTACTGAAAATGACATGCAATCTCTGCAACATAAAACATTGTGTACTTTGCATATCACACATACATTGTCCCACCTTACCTGAGAGAAGGGAGGTGACCAGCTTTGAAGAATAGCTAGTTGGAGGGGGAACAAAATAACATGGTTTATTTGTATTTATTTACATAACTTTTACAAGCATACAGCGAATGTTTTGCTTATGGCATTAATTTAAACATGAAATGAAATAATTACCATATGCATACATTTAAAAAGAATGTTAGAACATGCCATGTAAAACAACTGTCATTTGAACACCATCAGACGTGATGGTGGGTTTGAGCTGCACAATAACAGCCAAACAGAACGTCTCTGACAGCTGTGTTCTCCGTCCTTGCTTTCCTGCCAGAATGTTCTCTCAAGGAGACTTGGCGTGAACATCCTTCTCGAGTCAATTGGTTGCTGTTCTGGTATTGAGAAACAGCCTCTGGGTCCAAAAGATCAAGGAGAATTACCACCACTTCAGAGGATGTTTGCACACACAGGGTCACGCCAGAAAATTATTATTTTTAAGTCAAAAAATGAATAAAATGTGTAGAAAATCCACATTATAATAGTTATATCAACACCATTAAAGCATATGTTGGATATAGGACTAACAGGTATTTCTCCTTGTATATTTATTGAAATGTAACATATCAATGAAAGGTGCACATGTTGAATAATAGTTTTCTTGCAACAACCATGGGGTAACCACCAAGTCTCTATGTTAAAATACTCCCATAATTAAAAGTTTCCACATACTTATCAACAAGATGTACTTTGAGTAAGAGGTACTTGTTGTATGTGACTGATATGTGATTATACTTAGGCTATTATAGTGAAGGTACAATCATTTCCAAATTTTACTTAGGAATAGTTTTTTTTCGTCCATTTGAAATGTGTTAATTTAAAATGTTATATGGATGCGTCAAACTAACACATGTGTAGTCCTGTGAGAAAAGACAGGTTTTTTAACATAACCGACACAAAGGGGTCAAAATAGGTTGCCTAGGTTACCTGTACATGTTTGTAACCCAAACCACAACCCTTGTTTCCCCTTACCAATGTTATACACCAACCACATATTTAAAACCATGACCATAATCTGAAAGAAACGTTTCAATAAACACAAAATTAAAATTGGTTGTAATGACTTCCTTTCCTTCAAGGTGCATCATGGGGTTTAGAAAACACCAGAAATGCCCCTGTGATAATCACCAGTCATCCCAGATAGGTGAACACTCTTCTCTTCATTCATGTTCCAGACTATAAAAATGCACAGCTTTCAAAAATACACCGGTGGCAATATAATGCCATGGGTAATTTGACATTTTAACTATCCAATAAACTTTCCTTTTTTCTGAGACATCATGATTGAATCCTGATTACTGAAATGATTCATTTTTTATAACTCCATAGTTGCTGACAGAAACAAAGGCCATGAACATTCAGAAACCTATAAGTCTACATTAAGTGTGCACAAAAGCATTATTTTGCCTTTATTTGGATTTGGACTTCCTGGTAAACTTCTTGGAAAGCAGTAATGGTGACCTCATGCGACATGTGCACTGCAGTAGGTGTTACCTAAACTTCCAACCAATGAAACCATCACACATTTCTGATCCTTCCCTTTTTGCCTAACTCTTTTTAAAAACTCTTATATGATAGCCAAGCGTGTTTCGTCCTGATTGGCTGCTTGTTGCTGCATGCATCAATAGCAGAAGAAGTGCTCAGATCTTTTATTTTTACTTATGTATACTTTAATTACAAAAATCTTATCTTATCTTAACCTAGAAAAATATATAATTATTTATTTGTTATTTATATTTCACAACATCATTCTGAATTTGCAAAGTAACAAAAGCAATGGAAGAGGACATCCTCGTTTCCAAGGTTCATTTTAGATTTTTGTGCTTTTACTCTCAGAAGTGGACTTAGATTGGTGTTTCAGTTTGCTGGTATTTACTTTAGCAGGGAAATTCTTCGGTTCGACCAAACTAAAATCTCTTCAGTCGTAATGTCTGATGAAAATAATTCCCCCAAGAAACAATTTAAGGTGGATAAAAAATGGGCTACCGATTTCTCCCATTTGCACAGGACAGTGAAATCTTCTCTGACATCTCGACTGGCAACAACACAACCTCATCCATTTGTTTGTCAACTTCTGTTTTTGAATCCTCAAGATTTGCATTTCGGTAGATGTTATCTTGTACAATACAGGGGAAGCTAACTACAAGCCAACAACACATTTATTTTTAATGGAGTTTATAGTCTTAGTAAGGAATGGTAGCTTAGTGGCCTAGCACCTTCACCCATATGGTTACATGGTGGTTTCTAAATCCTGATTCAATCCATTATAAACCTGTATTGTTTATTAAAGAAACATCACTGCAAAGTGCTTTATGAGAGTGGAGCCCCAGTTTGACTTTAGTGGGTACATCAGTACTTTATTCCTATAGTGGTAATGAACCCAGTTATTGTTAGCCTGGGACAAACTGCAAGTAGGGAAACCAGTGTTCCAGATTTCCTTTCCATCACTTTATCCTGAGAGTAAGGTTACTGCAGCACAATCTCCCCACAGTACGCAGACGCTGAAATGGGTCTACTGTTGGAGATCACAGGTATGGAATGGGACCTCGTTGGGCACAAAAAAAAAAGAACAAGGTGCTCCAATTCTGTCCTCACTCACAGCTGGCCTCTTCTCTCACAGAAAAAAAGTGTATTTATATTTGGACATTACGTAACTTCCAGAACTGCTGTCTGGAGGATGATCGCTGGACGCATTAAGTCCTTGGATGCTGAGTGCCTACAAGTTGCTATTGCTACGGAGGTTCTGTTGTTGCCTCTGTGTCAATACTTAGACCCAAAGATTTTTCTATTTTAAAAACCCTCAGACCTCACTACAGCTAGATCCCCGGCAGACACACAACCACAGCTTCCACTGCTGCCAACTCACACTCAGTGAGATTATCATGACTCATCACGAGTATCGATTTTTGGTTCGACGTTATCTTTTATCACGTGTGCGAGAGTGGCTTTTGCAGCAGCCCTAGTCGTGACATACGTTTCGAGAGAACCCCTTCAATGCCAACGCGCTCATGAAAAGGAAATCCCCACCCTGACCCCCCTCATTGGCTCACTCCCTCTTTCCCCTCAGTGGCACACACTGGGGAACTGTGCTAGCCTCAGCGCCAGTCACACAACATTTTCCACACAGCGCTGTCAGCCTTCCAATAGCATTTGCCTTCCCCTTTCGCTCGCAGCTTTAATTTGCATGAGGGAAATGAGCCGTGGCCTCCCAAGCGTAAAAAAAAAGAAGATTTCCCTCCACCTCGCATGTGATGCATCACAAACCCACAGTGCTCCATCTACAAGAAAACATGACATTATCTATTTCCTGTACCTTAATTTAGGTTTTCAACACTTAATGTCAATATGACGGTGAACAACAGCCACCTTCGATGTTTTTGATGTCTCCCAGCTACATTTGAAACCTCTCTGCTGTCTGAACAATGGACTGGAGTGTGGGGGACAAACAGCTGCTGCCTCCTTTGACTTTGAATCAAGGAGACATGAGTTTAAAAAACAGTCTGGAGCAGCTGTACCTGACAAGAAGC